CACGTAGCGACGGAGGTCGGGGACGACAGGAGGGGAAGTAAACCGAGGCAGGGGGTAGCAGGTGAGGGAGGACAGAAGCAGCGAGCTGGCTGCATCGTCACCAGCAGCAAGATCCTTTCCTTGAAGGACAAGTGTGGGGGGTCTCTGCAGATTTCGGAGGGGACCGGATAACACACAAGACATCGTCCTCGTTGCGGTGAACGCTCGTACTGTGCATGAGAGACTGCGATACGAGGCTTCGGGCCAGTTGCAATGATGGGCACCGACGCAGCCGCGCAGGGTGGGGGCGAGGCTGGCAGGGAAGGAACAACACGGTGGCCCAGGAAAGGGAAACACAAGAGAAGAGAGGGAGACGTGGTCCTGGACGGGTGCTGCTGGAGCAGAGGGAACTGGGCCCAGAGAGAGCGCAGCCGTGTCTACACAGGCCCCGAGGAAGGAGGCGAGCGGTCAGGGACAGGCCTGGGGAAGGCTCCAAGTTAGCGCTTCACCCCCCTCGCATCCTGCATCTCGGGCACTGGCTTCACGCCTTCCCCGGCTCACCTTCTCCCCCTGGAGAAAGTCCCCGCGCTTACCTGCCCCGATCCACCCGAGTCCGACTCACAGCTGTGGAAAGCGTGCCACTTTCTACGGCACAGGCGCGTCGCTCCCCAGGACGGGGAGTGCCCAGGTCCCAGCAGCGCGAGGGTCCTGTCCAGGGCCCCAGGTCTCACCTCTCTGCGTGCCCGACCCTGGCTTAGGGTCTGTCCTGCCGCCGAGGCAACTGGCCAGCGTCCTCTTTGGCAATGGCTTTTGCGATGGACGCGTGTCATTGCAAACTGGATTGAGGTTCCCCAGCAGCCCCCAGCTGGGAACAGCCCCACGCTGGAGTACGGCAGCCTGCCGGGGAACGGCGCAGCCCCAGACCGAGCGCGGCAGGACAGCGGGGTTGCAGAGACGCAACGTAAACAGGGCGCAGGAGAGAGCCGGGCCGCGCAGGACCCGGCAGGGGTGCCAGGTTGCCTGCTCTCACTGCACTGGCTGCAAATTGCAAGGCCCAAGACGTGCAACGCAGTGGCCGCGGGATAAGAATAGCAAAGGGTGAGAAGCCAGGCCGGGGGTGCGTCAGCCCTGGGACCGCAGACAGCACTCGAGAAGTTGGCAGGAAGGGCTGGCTGTCTTGTACTACATCGCTCGCCAGACGAGAAGCAGAGACACCGCTGCTCCTTTTGGATATCTCGGGACAGGGAGCAGAACACCCTTTCCCTTGGCCTGGTCTCCTCTGCTGCTCCGCAGCCCCAGTCCCAGGGTGCGAGAGCCTTGCCCCGGCAGCTCCTGCCAGCCTCACCTGGAAGGATTTCTTCCCTCCCCTACTCTGTGTCCAAATCTCGTTCCTGGCATTATTTATCTATAATATAAAGGCTTGGAGAGTCTTTAATAGAAAACGCATTCCCAAAGACCTGAGCCGCCACCACAGCACGTAGTTAACACACGTTCAGAAGACCTGTGCCGGCGGCGTCAGGTCGGGACTCTATTTCACACCTTACTTTAAGGACAAAGTGCCAAGTCCTAGGACACGAGGAGCCCTTCAGGGAGGCGCAACACAGAAACCCGGCGTGTTTGAGCAAGGGCTGGGAGCACGCGCGAGACCGTGTCCTCGGGGCAGGTGGGCGGGAGGCGAGGTTGCCGTGCTGGGAGGCACCGGCATCTGCTAAACCTTGAGAGCGCAGCAAGTGACTCAGACGAAAACCAACACCCGATCCTGTGTCGGTGCCCAGAAACCTTGGCCTGGCATTACCGTGCTGCAAACAGCGTGTCAACCTTTGGAACAACACAGGGAACCAATTACACCTAATGACTTTGGTGCGCGAGGGATAGCAAAGGACGCGGTCTGGGAGCACATCCGCGGCACCGAGTCAGCAGCGGAGGTGCGGGGCACTCGGGGCCGATGCCCGAGCTTCTGGGGGCTCACGCAGGGACCCCTGCGGTCCCACAGCACACGCTGGCTCCACGGCCAGCGCAAGCACGCAGCCGCAAGGACACAGCTCCTGCCATCTTCCTCCTCCTCCTCCTTGCTCGCCCTGCAGCTCCCCAAATGGAAAGTGTGAGGCTCTTCCACATCCCCTCCCGGCTAGGATGTTACTCACGTCTGGAGCTGCCCTGCAGGAAGCAACCGGCTGCCCAGGCCTCGAGCAGAAGGGCTGCAAGAACTTAGCTCCCCGCTCAGCCATTCCCCAGGGCAGCCCGGCGGGGGCATGTGCAGGGCTGTGGGGCTGGCCGAGCAGCACGGGACTTGAGAAACCCCCCTGGCCACACCGTCGCTGCGCAGCACCTGCCCGGACCGCGAGCGGCCTGCACAGTACCTGCCCGACAGGACGCGGGTCATGGCCCCTGGCGAGGGGAGCAAGCCGCACGGCTCCCCAGCATCTTGGCGGTTCCGTTTGTGCCCCAACTTGCTGATGTGGTTCGGTCTCCACCCCTCCAAACCAGCCCACATCCACGCTGGAAAGCAGCGTGGGGAAGTCAGGTCTGCACCAGACCGCGGCGAAGTCTCGCAGCTCTAGGACATTGCATTTGCACAGAGCAGACGTTGCATCTCCCACCAGGCCGCGGGTCACAAACCGCGCAGACCGAACACCGCGCCGCCGCGCGCTTGGTCCCCCAGACCCTGCCTAGCAGATGGGCCAGGTTCTGCCGCGCGGCCTTTGAAGTCTCCCCAAACGAGTCACAGCCCAAGCAACCGCCACGCCAAGAGCTTTCCCCTTGCAGCGGCCTCAGGCTAGCGATCAGGCCGGATCCGTGCAAAGCACGGGGCCGTTTCCAGAGTCACGGGGAAAGCCAGCTTAAAGCAGAGACGGGCAGGACAGCGCGGCACCCATCCGCACCCCGCCCCGCCCCGCCCCACATCCCCTCTCAGCCAAAACGCGCCTTGATCCAGCTTTATTGGCAGGGCTGCTGCTGATCCTGTTCTGCCTCGAGGAGCGGTCACTAATCCCAGCCCTCGCGGGAAGGGCTCGCTTAACCTACTTAGCTCCGAGCGGTGCCTCAGGGACGGGCCCAGGAGACAGCGGTCACAGGACGGTGGGAGATTTCCCACCCCCCCCGGGACACGCTGCGTTAGCTGCGGGGAAGGTGGCACCGCGGCACCCCTGCGCCCGTCTGGGGTCACCGGCACGTTGCCGCGGGCCGGCGAGACAGAGCCGCAGCGCGCTGCCCGCTCCGGTGCCGAAGCTGCTTGTCGGCAAGACGGATAGATGCCAGGAGAGGAGAGCAGGTTTCTAGCACAGCAGGAGAAGCCCTAGCTCGCACGGCAAGTTCGCCTTCAGCTTGCACGTGCCCAGCT